TTTTCTGGCCAATTCTCTACAGGTAAAATAACCTATTCCGGCATTTCCTCCTGTAACTATTGCAACCTAGAGATAATTTATAGACAAGAAAATTCAATAAGCCGATATTTTATATTCAACTAATCAGGTGATAATAATAATCTTACTTTTCCGGTCAGATCAGGGATTTTGTCAAAAGTAAAATGCTTTCCTTCAGAAGGATTCATTTTTTATTTTATTTTTTTAAAAAAATCAATTGAGCGTAAAACAACATAAGGAAGGCGTATTTATAAGGTTTTCTCTAGTTATAACTATATGCAATTAGATAATTTATGATCGATTAAGTTATAACATCCACTTGCCATTTTTAGCATTGATACTCTATCGCTAATTTATCGGGTGTTACGATATAATAATAGTCGGGGTTATCAATTTAGTATGAAAATTTCTTGGATTCGATCCGATATTCGGATTGATCCTCAAATCCGTTTAATCCTAAGATATCCTTATCCGAAGTTTTTAAGAAGGATGATCCGATCTTGTACCCGGACGAAGGATAACGGATTATAATCCGGATTATTAGTTGTAATAATGATGCAAAAAAAAATAGTATCATGGGCAACACAAACTATGACTAAAACAATAGGGTCAAACTAGTATTGGCGGTGGAATTACTGAATTACGGCACAGAACTATGCGCCATAATGCTGCAATGTGCCGTAATGCCGTAATGCTGCAATGTGCTGTAATGCCGTAATGCTGCAATGCTTAATGCCGTAATGCTGCAATACCGTAATGCCACAATGTCATAATATCATAATACCTGAGATTCTGTAATACTATAGCATTATAATAATTATAGTAATATATATTAATCAGTGATCTTTATATACATAATTATAAGTTTTATAGCTTTAGGCGCTGGACTTTTGTTTTAATAATAAAAAATTTACTAAATTTATTAACCAGTAATAATTTGATTATTGCTAATAATCCCTATGTGATTACTGCATATTACAGATCATAATCAAATTAAACAAAGTCTGATAAATTTTGAAATAGAGAATGATACTACTACACTGCACATGATCAAGTAGTTTCTAGTTAATAAATTGACAAATGATTAATAATTAATAATTATTATTGTTATTAATTCAAGAGGCCCCATCACTAGGCGCGGGTACAAATACTCATAAATTTCTATTTTATTTATAATATTATATACTAAAAATTTTTTAAAATTCCTATTGCTTATTTTAATAGCATTTTTGCCAAGTTGATTTTGCGGATAATTTGAATATTTACTAAAGTATTATATTATATTATTTTGATAAACTAGTAAGTATAACGATAGATAGCTGTTACTAACCAATGTACATTTTAATAAACTTGTAGATAAACATTATATTTACATTATACCTTAATTTCGCATTAATCTAGTTTGAGTAAGTATATTAGATATTATTTTAAGTAACTTCAAGAGAAAATGAACTTCAATCACATAAATTCTGGATGATTGAAGTCACATTTCTCTTGGCGTCACTAATTTATTACTGTATTAATTAGTATACTCTAAGAAAGTGCAGCGTTTGCGAATCTTTGTTAGGGCCTTTAGGAGATAAGGATCAAATTTGGAATTAGGAATGTCAAATTATATAGTGTATTTGGCAATACATGTTTATATAGTTTAAAAAGTAATTAACAACCCCTTATGTCTATTATACTGTAACTTAATATGTTTAATTCTTTTTAACACCGATTTTTTAAATCAATGAGTAATATATACTTTTTATTAGTAAATGATGAACTTGTTTTTTTAAATATAAAAGTACAATAAATCCGGATTAATTAATTTGTATCCAGATTATATATTTAATCTGATTATCCGAAAATTTTTTATATCCGTAAAAATCCGAATTAAATTCGGATCATTTAAAACATATCCGAATTGTATCCGGATGATATTTTCTTTAGCGGATCGAATCCCTATAATCTGTTAGTGTGTATATGAATTCGGGATTTGGGACAAAATCCTAACAAACAAAACCCCGACTGATCACAATCCCGACAAAAAATCCCGACAATAAAAATCCCAAAAATAAAAATCTCCGACAATCAAAAAAAGTTTTCTTTGAGCAATTTTACTGTATAATCGCTTAGCTTAAACCTAGCCCTAACATATACACAAACTAACTTAAATAAACTTAATAGTTTTTTTGTCTGGATTTTTTGTTGGAATTATGACCTGTCGGGATTCTGTTTGTCGGGATCTTGACCGCACCCGAAATAGGTATTTAAAAAGCCAAAGATTAGAAGTTGATGCCCTTTTGAGTAGTGCTTGGATCCAGATATCCTGTTTTAATTCTCTTAATCCGGATTTGTAAACGGATATATTACATTATATGGCGAATTCTATCCGGTTATAATATACAGTCGTCCTCCTCTATAATCACGCGGTTTGTTTTACATACTGTAAATAAGATGTGATTATATAAATTTCAAAAATGGTGCTTATAAAGAGGGTGTGACTATATAGGAGGTGACTGTAGAGGAAGATTCCTATATTATCATAACGAATTTATAAATAACAGTAACAAGTAAGCTAAAATTCAGTCACCAATCCTTGTTGAAATAAAATCGATTAAAAATTAGATTCATATCCTGAATTAGAATCTACCTGATTCAGAAGCAGATTATCCAGTTCTAAATAAATTTAATTAGACATTTGGACATTGTCAAATTCTCAAATAATTTTTTGAACCTTCAGGCATTGGGCAATACATTTCCAATTGCCCAATAATATTATTGGATAACATGATGGCAAAAGTTTTATTGCTTTAACTCTAATAATGGCGTTTATCAATTTTATTTTTATTTCATATAAACATTTTTTACTCTTTAATTTACAATACTGAGCAAACTTTTTTATAGAGGGATATAACAAAATATATCAAAAATAGAACGTAACTATTTATATAAATATATTTTTGTTTCTCTTACTTTGTAAAAAGAAGCTGATATTTAAAGTTTAAAAATATTAATTTATTGAATAATCACTATTTAGTGATATATTACATGAAAATTCATTTAACTATTACATTTACCAAATATACTCGAATATTAATATTCAAATTTAAGTAATAAATCAATAGCAAACAAATTAATTTTGCGATAATTTCTCGTTTATCAAATTCTCCGTAAATTCCCAAAGTCTCTTGGCCAAATCTTCATTTTCAGTGTATGAAGATTTTTCACCTTCTATACCATATGGATCAAAATACTTTCCGTGATAATTTTTCTCTTCGATTTCTGGACTGGTAGCACAATATAAGGTAGTAATAGCTCCATCTTCAGGTGAAATTAATGAAGACATAAAAGTTTCTGGGACAGAACAATCGTTTCTTCTTGACATGTTAATATCTACGAGACCTAAATACAGTAGATAGAAGAAATAATAAATAATATAAATTGGTTAACTAATATTTTGGTTTAGTTAAATTCTGAAATTTTTTATTATACCTGGATGAAGAGAGTTAGCATATACTTGTTCTCCTTCAAGATATCGTTTATTTAATTCGTTAGTA